CTATTAAGACGTTGAGAAGGGAAAGAAGGAGAAGCAACGTTAAGAATTCTGATTAACGGCATGGACGGCTTCTTTTATTTGCTGGCAATTAAAAGCAAGTCTTTCATGGTTAATTACAGGCCGAACCGCGATCCATGACAAGATATTTATGCTAGGAGGTCAAAGCAGGAAAGGGGAGGGGGGATTGATGGCATAGCACTCGCCACCTTCTCGGACACAAATCTTGAAAAGTCTCTGCCCCATTCATAATTGCAACCGCCCTCCCATTCTACACTGGAGGAGGATTTCCCTCCATGCCACGATAATGAGGCACTTGGGATTGTGATGAGATACGGAAGAAATCTTTCGACCTTGTAGTCCTTTTTTGTATCTTTCGACCCCACCGTTCCCTAGCTTTTCCATCTTTTCATATTTGTACTCCGTTGTCCCGTTCCTTTTTTATTTGACAATCATAAATGTAGTTACAACAAGGAAGGTAGAAGAGGGGACGCAGACACTTATATATCATTGCCGATCAGACGCAGTAGTTAGCTTTTACTTCTCTGTTGGCATGCATGGTGTGCATTAATAAGCAGACATCTTACTGAAAATGATTAATTGCAATTGACAGACCCATGCAAATGAGCTGCCTGGCAAACCCCGACAAATTGGAGGAGATTGAGCGATGAATCATGAGGCATGAGAATTCAAGTTTTATGGTCAAAATGTAAGATTGAGTAATACGAAGAGACATTTCTGTCCATACTTACATCCCTTTAACTCTAACTCCCCCCCCCCCTATTCTGATTTTTGTGATTTTGAAGATGATCTCACTCACTCTTCACTCTCAAGTGAGTTTTCCTCTGCAATGTAGTTCCTTGGAACATAACCTTCTTCCCCAGTTCCAAGATGTAGTCTGTGGAGTCTCTAATGAGTCTTTGTCGACTCTATGGAGAGAGAGCTAGAGTCCAATGCACTAAACGGAAGTGGGATTTCTTTTTTTCCCCCCCCCCCCCCCCCCCATCGGGCATAAGGTTTAGCTACTCTTCTAAAGGTTAGTGCTTTTGGTAGGAGCGTGTCATTCTCCCTAGCTCCGAACGGCCACGTTTCTCCCCTTTTCCATGAAGGCATTATATTTTTTTTTAACCATTACCTGCCACACCGATAAATAATTAGCGAGAAAAGCTCATTTTAGTTTATTTGTAATTCCGCCGTGCTATTTCGACTACGCCCATTGCATTTTCGTTAGTTATCTCTCACCCGAGCAGGAGTGCAGCTTGTTCATACAGTTGGAGCATTAGTAATAAGGAGGAAGAAGCAGTGGTTTGTGATGCATGTGGTTGTGAAAAAAAAAACTAAAAGTAAATGCAGAAAAGAATTAACTGGATGAAAACTGAACTTTGTATCAACCAGTATATTTTCGAGTATTTTCTCCGTGGTATAAAAAAAATTACGTACTGAGCCTTCCTACAGTAGGGGTCTTAAAGCATCATCCAGTATTAAGTGTTGCTCAGGTAGCACAAGATGGTCGGTACGAATTACTAGCCGCAAGCTGAAAACACCCTCTACGATTAAAATATTATTCAGAAACTACGGCACTGGAGCGGTATCTGAAGACGAGATGTAGTCTTGATTCCCACAATGGGAGCATTGCTTTCACACAAGGGGCTGGGAGGGACTGCATCACCTAACGAATTTCACACAAGCAAAAAGCTTGGGTCTCATTTGAGGCCCACGTAACTTGAACTAGTTCCCTTTCGTTTTGCTTTAACCATCGAATTGGAAAGGGTAGGCATTTCTAATTCGATAGTAACGCCCCACGCTCCACGTTATCAAAGCCCTTAATGATCTTACATGCCTGTATAAGACCCTCCCTCGTTAACCATCTCTCAAACGAATACAGTCCCAATGCATTTAAATGCCGCTTGTGTGAAAGTTCTCGTGCATCCCTTATCATTCAGTAGCTCCCGCTTCAGTGCCCACTGCCGGCACCATTGAATCCCTTCTATTTGCAGGGCTTCAAAATTGAACGCAATACTTAATATAAATGACGTCTCACCGATGCCGTTTTGAGCGAAAGAAAATGTGCGAACTCAACTCTTCTTGGTAATTGAACTCCAGACATAGTTCAAGATTCTGCAACACCTAACATCTTCGCACCTTCTGTCTAGTCCCCCTTTACGTCTGCAACTCTAAATCTTTTCTCGTCAACCCACTTAATATGAGCTCTTGCTTAATGCATCCAAGAATGGAGCCATAGGCTCGGTTGAAAATAAAAGTGTTCAAAATGGAGAATGAGTAGTTCTCCTGATGCATTTAGTGAAAAAAAATCTCAAGAACTTGGGTTCGAGGGGTTCGTGATTCCATGAAATGCGTCACCGAAGAAGCGAAGTCCTCGATACAGTAATTGACTGAAGTGACAACATGCTCGAGGAATCCCTTCGCAGAAGTCTCACAATGTCGAATACATTTGATCCCAAAGCACTTTCCCCACGAAGATGGGCGCGTCTGTTTGGACTGATTTTCGCTCTATTTCACTTTCTGATTCAAATGCAGAGCAACAATGGCTTCCATTTGTGAGTTTAGGAAAAATAAGTTGATTGAATTCGGCAGCATCTTTCAAATTTGTTCATTTTAATTTAATCTTAAAGGATGTAGACAGGAAGGCAATGTCCGCTTAAGCGTTTAATGCGACCTATTTAAAGGCAATTTAGAACATTTTCGAGATCGTAGTAGGTTTATTATGATGCTTTGCTTGCATCCCAATTAACCGACGATGATCAAACGCTCGAGCAAGTCAGTGAAATTGTCTTCGGTTCGTTATTTCGCCATGGCTTCACAACGAACGGAACAACTGCATAATGAAGTTGCTTGAGGGAGAAAGAAAAAGAAACTGGCGCCATCTGTGACGCCACGGTAACGACTAAGGAGAACTGGGATTGAAAAATCAAAGTGGATTCCGATTGGCTAATTGAGTGAAAGGTTTCCTTTCCCCTTCCAACCACTCATTATCTTGAAACTTTTCTCGATTCACTATTATAAGTTCCTGCTGAGACGTAGACAGGAATTCTTTTTTGGGGTGTTCTGCGGGCCATATTCTGACTCATCATGTGACAGCTAATGAAGGGTGTTCGATTGAGCAAGATCATGATTCCGAAAGCCTCTTCATCCTTCATCCTATTTTATATAAATATATATTTATTTCCTCCAGCATCGAATCCGAATGAAAGTGGATGGAGTCGTTCCACAATAGCACGAATTTTGAATGAACAAGGTAGATGCAAAATCAATACGTGAATATAAACATTCTAAGAAACCAAAAGTTCAGGCATGGGATTTGGAATCGGCAGGTCTAGTACAATAACTAAGCATGCAAGAATTTGGTTTCAGTGCGTTCATCAAACCGTAACTATAGGTAAAGTCGACAATTAGGGTTTGCTGTTCCGAAAATTCTCCGAAAGTATGGAAAACTGCATGACGAAATTTGTACTTGTGTCAACTACCTAAACTGGTAGCCTCATTTGCGAGTCTCTTACCGAGTCTTGTCGTCTCTGATGGGGTAGAATCCCCTCCTCCCTTTACAAAGGAAAAGTACAGAACATTTTACTCCGTGCTATGTTTGATCAAGTCTTGCCCCACTTCGAGGGCTGCAAGATGCAACCTTGGCGACCTGTTTTTCGCTAACATGGCGTTTCGAGAAATTGACGTTTCTCCATAAAAAAAACACTTGGTTGCAACACTTTTCCATGAAACGCATTTCGGGGAAGTGGGATGAGTCGCAATTCGACACCCATTTCACTATACATTAAGGTGACCAGACGTCCCGGTTTTTCAGGCTAAGCCCCGGTTTAAATTTTCCTTTCCATTCTGGTGTCCCAGTTTTTCCACATTGCAAGGACTCACATTTTCTGGAAATTCTCTCATTTTTTCCTGTAAAAAAATCTGGTCACCCTACAATTCATAGCCTCCAATCACTCCAGCGTTCACATAGTCTCTGTGCTACACATTTCACCAAAACAAACATTTGGAGGATGCAACGCCATGAAAACAACGTAAGGAGGGCAGCCATGTACAAGTAAAATGCTTTGGTATGGTTGTAAAAATGAGTTAAATCTCAGTGGGTCAGACAGTGTGCTTCCTGGGTACGGCAACGAAGATCATTACCGTGCCCATTAGGCCATCAGATTTTAAGCCTTTCTTGCACTTCTCTCAGTTGTTATTTCTTGGAAAATGAAAATTCTCTCCCTCTCACCTCATAAGTACCCTTAACAATAGTCACCAGAAAAAGCCTTAAATTTCCACAAAAATTGCGCTCTAAAACGAAAAATACTGTGATAGGCTCATCCGCAATTGCTACTTCATGTCTGTCTACTGATAAAAAATGTTACGCAGAAAGCTTGTGCGTCGTCGAGCTTGAGATTCTCTTGATAATTTACATATTCCAATCGCCGTTATTCCAAGTTCTGCATTGCATAGGAGAGGAATGAAGAGGATGTGCCCCTCTCCCCCCAAAACACACACACACACACACACACACACTTTTTCCATCTACGCTACGCTTATGGTTTAGGGTGGTCATGTATGAAACACCAGAATGCGGGACATGTGAGACTGAGGAAGGGGAAAGCACCGCCATCGAGAGTAGTGGAACAAATGTAGAACGACGATAGCTTTTCATTTCACAAGAGAATAACCGTGAATCTGAAGTACAAAAGCATGGTTCCGATTCGTTTGACGCCATCACTGAGTGTGCGGCTTTGATCAACATGGCGATGTCCTATGGACTATAGCGACCGACAACGTCGAATGGTGGCACATCTGTCGCATGCCGATGCTCTTAATCATTGGGGCTGCACGAGTCCCGATACTTCATCATTCAGGATGTTAGAAGTTGTGGGATTACATGAGAGTCTTCGACGAATGGTATTAGGGATCTAGACTATAAGTTTACTTGTGGACACTTCCACGGTATAACTGGACTTCATAGTCTGACGAGAATAAATTGGGTCTACCGAGTCGGGCGTAGACACAGCGTCATAGTCCTTGCAACATAAGGACTTAGTGCAATTCATGAAGATTCAGGAAGCTTTCCAAGTGAAGGTTTAATGTTAAGCCTTGCTGCTTGCTAGCTATAAATCTCATCATGGGAAACTGCTGTGATTCTGGTGAAGGTGAGTAACTTATTTCAAGATTAATCTTAGGCATATCCTTATTTTATACTTTATAAGAGAGAGTGAGGAAGATACCCCTAGGCCTCATGCAGGCTAATGTTTAATAAGGTTCAGCTATATTAGATCTAAGTTTTACCCAAAAGAAAAAAAGTTTGAGATAACACACTATTCCAAGTCTAATGTTAATGTTATCAGGACTGTTATCTAATAAGATAACATTTGATATATGACTGTTATCAAAAATGTTATCTAATGTTATCTGGACTGCTTTTGATGGGCTTGTATGATGCATTTAAAAACTTAATTGCCTAAGATTTTTTGCATTCGGTACTTGCTATGGTGTCCCTGCTCTTGCCAAGGAGCATGAACCTAGTAAGTAAGTGGCCTCCAAAATGCTAGACATGTTTAGGCATTGAAGCTTGATTTAGGCAAACATAGAAGCAAACATTAACCCCTTAAACACACATGATGCACTGGTACATGTCATGGAGAAACCATGCCTCAGATACACATGATGCTTATAGGTGTTCACTGAGAGGGCTCTGGAGGGGGGGAGATTTTACTTCCTCTTGTGATACCCCCTATCACAAGAGGAAGTAAAATCAGAAGTAAGTGCAAGTAAGTGGAGAATTTTACCAGAAACAAAAAAAATGGATAAAAATAAAATAAAATTCTGTGGTATTACATGTAGGGTATTGTCCAATATCTGGTGTGTTCAAGACTGATTCCATGTCTTGGAATTGATAATCCAAATAGCAAATCCATAGAAAAATTCTATGTGCATGTTGAAGAGTGGTTAAAGGGGAGAATATTCAGAGGTGAGGTTTCCAAGGAGTAGGCCTGCCACCTCAACTGAGAGATGGCAGAGTGAAAGCTCCTTTCAATCATTACTTAGGGAACAAACTAAAAGACAAATTTGTTTCTTTCATGAACCCCATCTAAAACAAAAAATAATTCCAACAAAAGATAAAAATCTGCCACAAAATAATAAGGAAAGGATTGCAGCCACAACTGTGCCATTATTTCAATTCCAGCTGATGCTTCAAGTAAAAGTTTTTTTCCATGAATTTGTGCTTCGCTTTTCAAGGGGTTCCAGTCATGTTGGAGACCAGTCGACATTGTGGCAATCAGAATGGGACCGTGATAAATGCCCTTAGTACATCAGCAAGGACTTTCAGCCCTGGGCAGGGCCATGTGGACATCATACGTAGCCTTACCACGCCACACGGTGAGATTGTGATTTGTAATCACATAGAACTGAATTCATTATGTGGGTATTTCATTGTGTAGACTTAATTGTTTCCCTTGCTGAGAGGCATTCCAATGTACTCTTATAGTTGAAGATAAATGTGAAAGTATGTGTTGCTTCTACAATAAACAATAGGTGAAATTCTTGCTCATACTATAAAAGCATACAAGACTGACAAGAAATGAACTCAAGATGAAGAGTCTGGATGGAGTCTTTTGACTACTTGTAAATCAACAATGTGATAAGCAGTGCATTAATTGGAGACAATTAAATTAGGCATCAACTGTACTTCACATGGAAGTGTGGTGCATTCAATTAATTTAATTAATCAGATTAATTAAATTTAATTGAATGTTTGGGTCATCTGATGGATAACAGCTAAGGAGTGCTTGTATACATCAGATGATCCTCTAAAGTTATGATTAAGTGATTTGCAATATCTCTCTCATTCTCATTCAGCTTGCAATAGCAAAGGTAACAAATATGTACTGCCATCCTTACAATTTTTTAGCTGTAAAAATTCTTGGTACCTATACCATCTACAAAATGTTTGTATCCCTTAACAACTTACTCATTTATTTTAGTTAAGTACTCACTGGCATCAGGAATTATATAGCCATTTCCCCAAAGTTTACATCAAAAGCAATATAGATCAGAATTTCAGCATAAAACAATAGCAGGGATGTCACCCTGTCCCCATTCCTATTGTTGAAAAGCCTGAAATTCTGTATGTATTCCATGTTTTCCCATGTGCCCCCAAAGCAATTTTGGATACCACATTTTTTTAAATTTTGATGGCCACTTCTTTTGGATGAGTGGGAATTGATGAGTTTAGGTTTATATTAAAAATGTCATTCTTGGTTTTCAACAGAATGGTGTTTTAGCCCTTCAAATGATGCAAGATCTGAATGGAAGACTTCCATTTAGTGAAATGCAGCATCTGAGATTGACCTGTGGCTGGTGCTGCTATGAAAGAGCATTGAGAAAAGCCTATTATTTGTGGAACAAAAATTAACAGGGCATGACACGAATAATTAAAGTATAGGCATAGAGCAGAGAGCATAAGGAGGTGATGCTCCAAGAGGTTGGGGGGGGGTTAGAAATGTTACAGAGACATCTGGTGGGTTGTTATCTGCAACACTCCCATGAGGCATGCTTTGTGGCAGCTGAATCGGGATTGACTCATTCAGGGATTAGACCTAAAAGGAGTCTCTCAACCTGATACACGTGTCTCATTGGGGTCTGCTGCTTGACCGTGGAGGAGTTAATGGTGTGTGCATGCTAGGTGGAGGATAGACAGCGACAGTATAGGGTGTATTATTACACATGGGCTAATCATTTCCTGCCATGTAAAATATTATTTTATGCCCCAGAATACTCATTCAGATTTTAGGTTGTGTAGGGTGTAACATTATGCCCAAAATCTAGGAGATTGTGGAGTTTAAGAGTGAAGATACTGATACTGTTGGGAAGATTGAAGAAAAATTTCACTGTGTAAGAAGGATTAGCTGTGGAATGTACACAGTTAAGGGGTTAAAGTATATGAGGATATAAGTATTTTTATAGATGATTCAATTGGTACAAGAATTTGGATAATCAAGACTTTTGGAGGCAGTATATTACACTTGTTGACTTCTTGATTTCTGAAGTCACTGGAATCTTATCATTTTAAGATGATTCTGTTTTCAACCATCAGTTTTTGTATTGCCAGACACTGTTTTTGAATTGAATTCATACCCCCTATAGGAGCATTTCCATCAATTGCAGGTAGTGACATGTTACTCATGGATAGTCATGTTTATCATCTGATGAAGTGGAACCTCTGGAAATTTGTGTTTTCTTCATTCTCCACTCCAGGGGGATGGTATGAATTCAATCTGGAAACAGCATGTTTCACATTGTTTTATTAGAAGGGCATCTGCATTCCAAATGAATTACTGAATCATCAAGTCGTAACCCAGCCTCAAAATTGACCTTGAATCAATTGATATGCTGGGAAAGGCCTTTGTTCTTTCTCTAGAAGCAATGTATTTGCTATTGATAAATCTCCTTTAGGGCCTGAGTTTAACCACAAACTTCAAGTCTCAGTGAGGCTAAGTTATTAAATCAGATAAAAAATGCATTTCACACTCATACCCACAGTTAGCTGGAATAACCCTAAAACATTTTGTGGCCAATTCTTGGCTTTAACCTTGCTTTAACTCTTGTTGCAATTCTCTGCATTGATGAGGACTGTCGTGCCTTTGGTTCTATAACTATCCTTTATGTGCATATGCTAAAATATTACATGTGTATGTGTTCTAGGGATGCATCCTTCCACAGGAAAGATAATGGTGACTCTTTATAGCTACTCTGCTACAGTTGAAGAGGAAATAAGTTTTGATAAAGGGGACAAGATTGAAATCCTTGATGCTAGGTGAGTTCTGTTTCTTCATTGAGGAATTGATATGGTTGCTAGATTCTAGTTTAGCCTATTCTGTCCTGTATTTTCCTCTTCAAGCTGCCTGTGTTTCAACTAGGATTGATTTTTGTTTAATGTAATGATTTTCATGAGAAAAATGATACAAAAGTTGCAAATGAGGTTTTTTTCTTCAGAATATTGCTAGTGTTTCTTACTTTTATGGCAATAAATATTTGGTAGGACACTGCAGAACATGCATAAAGTTTTGTGATTTCTTACCAAGGAAGCTTCACTCACAAAGTGAGTAATAAAGATATTAAGTATATACATCCTGGGTTTTGAGACTAGTATTCAAAAATTTGAATATGCTTACATTTGAGGATCCCAGTCTTCAGAATTCAGAGATCTATGAGCTCAATGAAGTAGTGCAAGCATATCCTGGCTGTTGACTGGGAGCATTGGGACTACCATAAACCAGACTAAAGTAAAGCAACTCCTGGATTATGGTAATTGAAGCCATGATATGCCTTAATATGGGAGTAGCCATGGATCTGTTTATCACAGCTCATTCATAGCAATCTTTAATTTATCCTAGTAACGACTAGCATTAATGGCCCATTGCACACCCTTCTTCACTGGAATGACTAATCCCTAACTTTCCCTCTGTTGTACAGCTGCATGGGTTCTTAATGCAGTAGCAATCAGTTTAATATTGATTAAATGGGTATGACTTTCAAATGCTCATTTCAGTGAGAATGACTGGTGGAGAGGACTACATCTTGGAACTGGGGAAGAAGGTTATGTTCCAAGGAACTACATTGCAGAGGAAAACTCACTTGAGAGTGAAGAGTGAGTGAGATCATCTTCAAAATCACAAAAATCAGAATAGGGCCTACATGTTAGAGGCCTTACACAGGAGTCTCTCAAGGATGCTCATCACAGTTTCTTTTGTTGCCTGTTGAAATCTTCAGTTCTCCAGAAATATTATCTTAAAACATTCAGTTTTTTGTTCGTATGGTCAAATTAAGAGTTGTGCATTTGCTCACTCTGTTCATCATTCTCAGCTTACCCCATCCCTTATCTAGCCTTTGAGATGCATGCATTTTTCCCTTTGCCATGTTTCAAAATTTCCTCATGAGATGATCCATTTTGTTTGACTCTGAGTCGATGCTAGATGTGTTGCCCAAGAGAAGCCATGGGAAGGTCTTTGTCATTATTATTGTATCATTTCACATCCTAGTGGGTGACAACATTGCAAAAAAATGTGAATTTTGTGCAAAAATTGTTGTTGACCATAAGGCTGGAACTCTCCATGATAATTTACAATTGATCAAGCTGTTTTATCTGGAATCCATTCTTCAGAAGTGCAGTGAGGAAGGAAATGGAACTTGGTTACTTCTTGTACTCTCTAGAGATGAAATGCAAGAGTCTGCAATATATTGTCTTCTTACATGTGATACACAGTCAACTGCATGAAATTGCAGTATATGACATCAGTCTGATGTAAATGTTGTTGTCTGATGTAATTGATTATTGTGGTGTCTTTTCTTCCTTGTTATTGGTCCTTTGTTATCCCAGCATTCATGAGGTGGAGGTGTGAGAAACCCCAACCTTCTGATCCTCTGAAAATTCAGTTTGGTGCTTATCACATTTATGTGGCCATTCTGTGTCCAACAGATGCCAGCTAATTGTCAGTATGTGAGTGTCATCTACAAACATTCATCTCAGGCTGCACAGAGACTCTAGGTGTCAGTATGAGCCATCTCTTTACAATGAAAAAAAAAAAAGATGTCTGGGCTTTCGTACACCCCTCCTCACAAATGCTGGGTTGTGTATATAAATGTGGAGTGACTTATGCTATATGCTTCTACTACAGTTAGTTTAATGTCCACAGTTGCCTCTTTTCTTCAGCCACCTTTCCCCATTCCAATGTATTGCTTTATATTTTATTCTCATTGGAATCAGTAGGAAATTGTCTCCCCCAGAAGTTCTTTGCCCTTCCCAATGATGAAGTAACTCAAGCTCAGTTTCATAGCAAGGCTAAATTTTAATTGCTTGAGAAAAATGAAGGCTTGGAATTGTTCATCTTTCCCTTATCTAGCCTTTGAGATGCATGCATTTCCATCCTTGATTACTGTATCCTCTCCTAGTGTATCTTCACTCTTTCTGGCCTAAATTTTTACTCAAGAAAAATATGAAAATGCCTGAATTTAGGTTAAATGTGTCCAATGAGTTCAACATGAAAATGTGTCTGTTGTCACAAAGGAAATATGAAGTGATACCTTCTAGCATCATTGAACAGTTTGTGAGACATATCACACATCCTCCTCCAGTAACTAAAATATATCTGATGCCTTGATTGCCTTCCTTGCTGAATGAGATTATATCTATATATAATGATATTATATATAGAGAGAAAGAAAGAAGTAAAAGGAAGCAGCATATAGATCAGGAACTAAAGTTGAGACTCAGTCTTAGCCAAGGTCAGTGACTAATCACTGCATTTTTATTAACCAAATTATATCCCAGATAGTGTTGTACCTCACAGCTTACCTCTTGAAGTAATATGTCATATTTTAGAGATTTGGCCAGTTTTAGGTGGAGTATGGTGGTATAGTAGCATGTGATCTGGGAGATTGAGTGCAATAGAATCTACTATGCATGTACATGTCAGGCATTGCTGCTTACAAATGATTTCAAATGGAATCACAATTATTTCAAGCAAAATAAAAACTACTATGGAGTCAATCCTAACTAATTGGATAGTCAAACTTTAAAGTCTGACCTTACATGACACAAATTCACAAATTGAGGATTGTCTTGCAAGAATACTCATTTATTTACATTCTATGAGGAAAAGTAATCACCCATTCATATGAAAAGCAGCCATGTGTTGAGAGCTTAGTTGGAGATTCTATCTAAAGATGGTAGGAGCATTTAAATTATTTGCATAGATTCCAGCATTGAACAAATCACACAATAGATATAAACTTTATGACTCCAGTTGAAATCTTTCGGTTAGAATTTCAGGAAAATAAGATAATGGCAGTGGCTTCAAATGGAATCACTGAACTGGAAAGGTTTGTATGGTTTTAATTTGAGATTCTCATAATTTGTTAACTGCTGAGAACCATTGGTGTCATCTATATGTAATGCCCCTCATCTAGCCCTTTCTCTCCAACTTTGACCAATATAGCCTGCCTTTGAAAGTATAGATTATACCACTTCCAAATGCATATGCTTCTGTTCTTGCATAAGTTACATTTTATCTAACATTGAGCCTGTGTGCTTATTTGAATTCATTACTGTGGTGCCCTTAAGAAAAGTCCTTTCTTGTAGAAGTAACTGTCAAACTTAATATGCTGTAAATAATTCCTTGCTCTCTGATAGCTCAGAAAATATAATGAAGGCAAACTTCCTAGCATATCTATAAAATTTAGATATCCATTTGCCTTAATCAAGTCATAATCCATATTGCTGTTTTTGCCCATAGCTGGTTCTTTGGACGAATATCGCGCAAGGAAGCTGAGAAATTGCTTCTTCAAAGGGAGAATCAATTGGGAAGTTTTATCATACGCAATAGTGAGCAAGCACCAGGATCTTATTCTCTGAGCATCAGAGACTTTGACAATACAAGAGGCAGCCATGTGAAGCATTACAAAATCAAGACCCTGGAAAATAATGCTGGCTTCTATATCATTGAGAAGCATACATTCTCTTCCCTTCGAGAATTAGTGAAGAATTACTCTGGTGAGTTCCAACTGCAATCCCTTGGTTTCTCTAAACTTCTGACACCAGAATTGTATGTTGGTTGTTGCTTGTGTATGAGGTCTGACAATAAAATAACGAGACTGACAACCCTGTAATACGTGTGGCAACACTGGGTCACTGGCGATTGCTGTAACCTGTCAGTGCATGTCTTAGGTCTGTGCAGTAACAACCTTGTCGTGATACTTCTAGTGATTGCAGAGTGGTACCACTTTACCTAAAGTAGTGTTGGGGACACTCATAAAAAATATGGGTGATAATATTATAAACAAGGAATCAACGTGAAATTTCTAATCAAACTCCAGAAAGAACTGACTGAAGTCTTTGAAATGTTGAAATAAGTGTATGGAGATGAGGTTATGTCCAGAGCAAAATGTCTTTGAATGGTGTAAATGCTTTTCTGAAGGAAGGGAAGAAGTTGAGTTTGACAGACAACCTGGACATCTGACAACTTCAAAATCAGATGAAAGCATCGAAAATGCAAGAACTCTGGTGCGAAGTGATTGTTGTCTTATTGTCGGAATGATTGCTGAAGAACTGTTTATCAATAGAGAGACGATACGATTGATTTTAATGGAAAGTTCAACATTTCAAAGACTTCGGTTGGTTTTTTTTCCCTGAGTTTGATTAGAAATTTCACGTTGATTCTTTGTTTATAATATTATCACCCATTTTTTTTATGAGTGCCCCTAACACTACTTTAGGTAAAGTGGTACTGCTCTGCAATCACTAGAAGTATCACGACAAGGTTGTTACTGCACAGACCTAAGATATGCACTGACAGGTTACAGCAATCACCAGTGACCTAGTGTTGCCACACGTATTACAGTGTTGTTAGTCTCGTTATTTTATTGTCAGACCTCGTATGTGCATTGTTATTCTGATGGGAAGCATTGATAATTTCATGTATCATGCAAGCTGGCCTTTAGTTGCTTGATGAAAATTGAGATTCCTCTTCTTAGCTGAACCTCATGGATTGTGCTGCACGCTCCGTGGGGCTTGTATCAAGCCAAAGCCACCTGTTTGGGATTTGTCACCAGAGACAAGAGATCGGTGGGAACTTGATCGGAATGATCTTGAAAGGATCAGAAAGCTGGGTTCTGGGAACTTTGGTGAAGTGTGGTATGGTAAGTATTGACTTCATAAAAGTTTCAATCTATGACTTCAGAATTGACCATTAATCCTTTCTTAACTAGTTTCTTTCCTGGAGAATCATTTGACTGCATCTTCTTGCCCAGGATTGAGACTGTTTCACACTTACCATCTTCTGTGTGTAGCACATTTGATTTAGTGATGCATGTGATACATAAAGGAACATGCATGTATAAGCATACCCTCATGCATTTATTGGCAAAGAGGAAACACAAAGCAGACATTTTGAATTGAGCACTGTTGAACCACAAAATGACAGTAATTTTTTCTCTGTTCATACATAAGTTTTCCTCTTTGCAGGTTCTTGTCCATGTGTCCAGTTTTGTTTGCATTCCCTTCCAATGCAAATGAGCATACTTACAAGCAAATGCATTTGTGCATGTGAATGCATGACAAGCAGGAATGAAGTATGACATGACCTTTGCACTACAAAATTTATGCTCTATATAGGGTTCTCTAAGAGTTTTGTCAGAAGCTAAAGAAATCCCAACGATGCGCATCTCATGAGCTTAACATCTCATGCACAAGCATGTTTTCTGTTCTTGCTATGGTCATTTACCACTCCTTGGTCCATCATTCACAGAACCTATATGATCAAGCTCCTTGGAAAGCTGTAGTCACCACTTGAAAATTTCTTCCTTACCTCCATAATTTTTTAAATACAAAAATCCATTGGTCTCAGTTGCGTTGCTCCATCTTCATCTAATATTAAAATAAAACATGTAGTGACAATAATGATAAATACAAAAGCATTAATATCATGCAACATTAATAAAAAATCTAGAGTAATAAGAAATCAGTATAGCTGAAAATCCTTCGGTAAACTAACTTATGGACCACCGTGTATCCATCTGGATACACGGATACTCATATCTGGCTGCCTGTCTCATCCAGAAATACAAAAAGGAGCACTAGTATGCACATACCTTGTAT